CCACTTTCACAATGCGCGTATGGTGGTTTTCCATACCAAGCTTGGCGAGTTTGGTATTTCGTTCCCTCTGCGTCTTAGCTACACAGCTTTGAGCAAACCTATGAAAGAGAACATCTCTGGTTACTGGTGTAACCCGTGTTCTCTGAATAGGAAACAAGACCCTGCGTTCACTGCCAAAGTCCTCGTGCTGCTGTCAAGCTTCCTTTTTCGGCAGAGAAATCTGAGGAGTAGATGATGCGCGCGCTAATATAATATGACGTCGTAAGAGCGTCAAGGCGGTGCCCGCGCCATCAGCCAATGGACTGGTGTGATTCTCTATGGGCAACAGACAATCTGCACCCTAGAAGGCATTCTGACTCGTAATTTTACACGTGAAATGCAGCCAAACCTTGGAGCGTTTTGTCATCGGCATCTTCATCAATCCCCTCGCTATCAGCAGACGTTCCGGGAGTCCCCCGCATATTGATAACGGCCTCCTGATTACGGTAATTAGTTAAAATCTATAGAGCGAGAGAGCAAGAGCACGTATGCGAGACAGAACCGACTGTGCTCCAAACCGTATAGTGCGCGCATGGCGGAGAGGGAGAGAGCGAGAGACTTTGCGTGTGTGCGCCTCATGACACAGAGATTCAGGCACTGAAATCAGGCACCGAAATTTTCATTCTTATTCGGTCTGGTTACTACCATTTACGTCGGAACCAGTTCCCTATTGGCACCGCGTTTCGGTACCCAACCCTAATGCCACGGTACCTGGGATGAAGTCATTTCACACGCAATGCAAGAAGTTTGCCCAAGACGTGAGAAACTCATTCTGCAGAGTTTGGGGGTATCGGCTAGTAAACAAATGCATGTGTATTTTACGACAGTAGTAAAAAAACAATACTGTTTCCCAACTGTAGGGGGACCCCGAGAGCAAAAATTTACAACAGTGTTACTTTAAAGGTGCAGTGAGGGATTTGTGGGGAATTTGAAATCAACCCAAACAAACACACCCCTCCCTTCATTGCTCTGCCCCCAAAATGCATGAACACACAATGCAAGTGTTGATGTATCTTTATCATAGCAGAAGCAAAGCAAAATAAAGCAAAGATGACAAATGAACGACAAGGAACAAAAATGAACATGCAGTACATAGGTATATACAAGCAAGAGTTAGTTGTTGGTTGCCAGCAGTCACTCAAAACTGTTACTCGTGTATGGAGCAGAAATAACTTCTGTGTCCGTTTTCCGGCCTTCCCGCTTAGGTCTCTCCAGTGCTGGAAAGCTTTTCAAATATTAATGCAGGTCCTAAAGCTCTTGCCTGATCATAGCCCTTTTTCTAGTGATATTCTTTTTCTAGTTATATTCATCTTACTGTTTCTCTTTTGTAATGTCTCTCAGCCATCTCTTTCAACAGTCTTTCTTCAAATCTCCCTCTTGCTCACTCTTTCTCCTGCCCCATCATGAGTATACGCCCCCTGCTGCAGATTGTCAACAAGTGCTCTGTCTTTGGTGCTTTTAACAGTGTTTTTTTTTCAAAAATCGCTTACAGCACCTTTCACCCATGTTTTATTTTACTGTACAACGCACAGATTTTGATCTTTTAATATTTTCCTCTCACAAAAGGCCTGAGTCCCTCCAACTTTCATTTTAGTGGCTTAAGCGAGGGCTTGGATTTAAACAGCATGAGTTCACGGTGAGGCGGACCTGTCGTAAATCTGTCAGCACGCACCACACAGTAGAGCTGTCCGCCCTGATTTACACCCTGTTGGAAATGATGGACAGGCATTCGGTTAGACAGCCCAGTTTGGAACAAGACAGGCCCGAACGGTCCACCCAAGTGGAAAAGTGTGGGAGACGGTGCACGGGGTGAGGTGGAGAAAATAATAAACATAACCCGCCATCAACAGGATACTGGATTGAAACTGGTGCGTGTTGGGGTTTTTTGGAACACAAAGATACGGGTTGTGGGCTTTCTTTGAAAGCAGCGTTTTTGAGCCGACTTAAGGAA